TATATAATTGTGTTTTAAATCCTTCACGTGTCCCTGAAACATAAAGAGCTATGCACATATACTGACTTGCAATAAATTCAGACTGGGATTTCAGTATACAGATAACGTTCATACAAGGTTATTTTGGCGGGGGGTGGTTTGAGACAGGATCTCACTATGTAGTTGAGACTGACCTGGAATTCACTATGTAGTCCAGGCTGGTCTCGAACTCACAGCGATCCTCCTGCCTCAGCCTCCCAAGTGCTGGGATTACAGTAGTGCACCACCACACCCGGCCTTTAGAAGTTCATTTCTTTAAACATTAAATTAAATACAGAATATGTATTAATTTTGTTCAACTGGCAAAGACCTAGAAAAGGCAGAGGCACAGGATAACAGATAAACCTTCTACCTCAGATGGCCCCTCTTAAAACTCCAGCTGTCATGACAGACAGAAGTAAGAGGTGCTAATGAGGCAAAACTGTGGAGGTCCTTGGATACTCAGGACAGAAACATCAGGATTTCATCTCACCTAACAACTTCTGCATTATGGTGTTATGAGAAAGCTAATTTCTTTTATTTAACCTCATTTTGGTCTCCTCTCAAAAATAAGTATAAACTTTCCTTAGAATTTGATGTCCTAAACCAGCTTTCTATTTTATGTCTGTCATTAAGCCACTTACATTTTCTTCTTACAGTGGCTACATTTTCTTCTCAAACCATTATAAATGGTTCCCAAATGTCTTAATTAATATTTCATGCAAAAGAGCACCTCAACTAAACAAAAATGGTAAAATTATCAATACCACACAAAGATTAATTAAATATACATTATTTGAATTAGTAAATGGAAAAACGGCATTAAAGCTCCTCTTTTGAAACAGGAAATCAAAAAGCTACATTATTTCTGCTTAAATATTTATTTTCTGATAATAATCCAAAACAAAGTGCAAATGGATTTTAAATCATTTGTTTTTAATCACTTAGTGAAGGCCTCGTTCTGCTTCGCATGTTGCAGTACGATCCCGCTAACAAGTGAAAGCAAGCGGAATAGCGGAATCCTCCGAGATTGCAAGCAATTCACAGTCTGTGCGTGCAGAAAGTCCAAACATTCTTAACACTGCAAGCCGAGCAGCACTTGACAGGACAGCTGAAGACTGACTGCTTCAGGTGATAATTTCAAAGGATGCGAATAAACACCTTGCTTCTCTGAATATTCTAGAGAAAAACTGTAATTTTCTTTAAGTGTGAATCTGTTGTGTTTAAGATCTTACGTACTATTTTTATCAAGAATCCAAAATATAAGTGAAGGCTGGTATTTAATATTTCACATGTAAAGACTTTAAATAATTGTAGCTGTAAGCCATTCAGAGAATCAAACAGGTGATATACACACTCCCTTATCTGTCCTCATTTAAACAAATTTATTATGAAATACATAAAACATTTCATTTTATTTTAGATGATCTTAAAGATTTGAATTCATTCACAAATTCTTCTCTTCAAGCACAAATAGGTCATCTCACAGGTGTTGGCACAAATTGAAATAAAGATTGGAACGAAGAGAAAAAAAAAGACTCACTAAGAACTGAAGAATACGGTAGGCATATTTTAGATACTTTTACAAATGTCATGTCAAGGAGATTACAGTAGTTTAATGAAAGGCATAGTAGAAAGCAATATTTTCTGTTGTTTTGTAGTATTTCCTGTGATTGCATGGTTGAATAAAAGTATTTGCCAACAACCAGCAAGTGATGGGCAAAGACACTTGGGAGGTGGGCATCACTGGATGAGATAAGGGGACTATAATCTTGCATTTTGGTTTTTATAAATCCCAAAGGCCCTTCCTTTGAGCCCATGTTTTTTGTTGTTGTTATTTCCTCCTTATTTCCTATTGTTTTGCCTTAAAATTTAAAAATGTACCACAAAACTGGTTATACCATCAGCTTGGGCCAGCTTCTTTCCCATTTTCCTGGGCTGACTTAATACTTCTTCCCTCTGGCCACTGAAAATTCCAACTTCTTGCATCTAAATTCATGTCTGGTCAGACACCCTATGTTAGCCATATTTATAGGAAGAGTGGAAAAAACAAAGGTCTTATTTTCACATTCATGTGTATATCATGGAATCACCATCTTTGCCTACCCAAGCTTTTAGGAATGACTTTCTTCCTGCTTTCCTCAACTGCTCTTAAGATTCTTGTCTCTTATACAATTTGAACCTTATTTACACTTTTAGTTTTTCACACCAGAGAAACTATTCGTTATTTACACGTGTGTTCTATTTATTTCACTTAAGAGTATGGCCTCAATGTGCATAACAGATAATGTGAAATAGGAAGAAAGGGGCTAAAGAAGTAGGGGAGGTGGGAGCAGTAGGGGGAAGGAAAGAGGGGCAAAGAAAAATATATGAGAAAAGGAAAAAATGGAAATAAAGTCTTTTTAAATAGGGAAGAGTGGAGGGGGTGAAAGGAGGGCTGGGGAATGGGGAAAAAAATAAGAACCAAGATGCATCATGTAAAGGTACAAGATCCCAATGATGAATGTAACTGTACTGTGTACTTAAAAAGTACCAATAAACTCAATGAGAAAAAAAAAAAAAGCTTCTTGCCTTAACCTTCTGTCTCCCCCCTTGTAAGTACCATGTTCATTTTCAATTCCCCAGCCTATATCTTACTTCGTTTTCTAGGAATTGACAATATTGAGTCAGAACACACAGCCAAGGCTACACTCGCCCTTCCTGTCATTTCTAAACCATCGTAAGAACTGTCATGGGAAGAGAAATGATGTTGCCCTTTTAAGGCATCGAGTTTGCCTAAACATTGCATTCTTTTTTATTTTTTTATTTCTATGTATCTCATTTCTTCATCAGGACATTAATCTGTTGAGGTAAGGCTAAGGTGCAATGATAAAAAACTGAATATAAAATTTGATTGGCCTTGTGCAAGAGGATAAATTCTAGCCTGAGGCCCCTGTATTGGTTTCAGCTGTTACAATATCTAGATAAATAAACTGAGATCCAACCTTTGGAAGAAGAGCTTTGCAATCACTAGTGAGAACTGAAACTGTCTATTTTAATCATTTAATATCTACTGTAAGTTATCAGAAAAGGCCTTAAAGGATCTACTGTTAGCGTTAATTTAGAAATAAGAAACTGAAGACCAGACAAAAGAAAACACTTTTCCAAGCACACAGAGGACTACATTTACAAGGGTGTGTTCAAAAAAATGCCATGAATGTTCAAATTTAAAAGTGAAGTGTACAGTAAAAAATACATTGCCATTAACCTCCAACAAAATACACCCCCTTCCTTCAAACATACCATTCTTGCCACTTCCTGAAGCGGTTCTGAAAGTTTTCTTTGTGAGTGTCTTTAGTCTATTATGGGTGCCTCAATATCCTGAGTTGATTCAAAATGTTTATCTTTCATGGTCATTTTTTTTTCCACTTTGGGAAAGAGCCAGAAGCCAGTTGGTGCCAGATCCAGTGAATAAGGTGATTTAGAACATACAGTAATATTTTTTTACAAGCCTGCCTTTTTGTTGGATCAT